TGCCACCGCCCCCGTATTTGTTGCTGTGTGGACACTGCTTCTCAAGTGCATTACATCCTTCGCCCTACTCCTAGGCAGCTGCATGGATGCTTCACTGGTTGGGAGAAGCAAGGAGGTGTAAGGGCTTGACCTGGGCTGCAGAGGGTGCCACTGCTGGGGGGTGCAGAGGCTTGCTTGGGAGAGTTTCGCCTCCCCTTCCCCTCGCTGTTCTTTGCCAGGTGCTGTGTGTTCATACCTCCCAAAAAAGTCTCACCAGAAACCTATTAGGTAGATGAACTTTCTAGAAGAGAATGGCTGGCCTCTGGAGGTGAGTGAACCGTCCAGCTGTGATTTGAACACAGGGCTGTCTCATTTCCACACTCTGTGCTTTCCGCCGAACCACACTTCTTTCAGGGCTAAGTGATGCTGTAGAAGTATTTGCATGAAAAACACGAAACCCAAGCTGTCCTTAGCCGATGTGTGCAACAGCAAATGCCTGGTCATGTGAAGAGCTCGACCTAAAGCATTCCTTGCAGGCAGGCTTTTAGTCTTCGCACCATTCATTTGGGTGAGCGGGAGTTTTTCAACTTTCGTGAGCATTAGAAGGCACAGTGAGGCTGACCCTGGCAGTCTCTGTGGTATAATGAACATGACTTACTGGGGAGTCTTACTTGCAGTCACATAGTAAGAGCTTTGTATGAGGCACTTAGAACAGTCGCAGTTAGAGACACAGACTGCAGAACGGTTTGCAGGGGGCTGGGTGGGGGGATGGGGAGGCAGTGTTCATGGGCATAGAGCTTCGGTTTTACAATATAAAACGAGTTCTGGAAATGCATGGTGGCGATGTTGCACAGCAGTGTGGTGTGTATAATGTCACTGAAGTGTATACTTAAAATGGTTGCGATGGCAAATTTTGTCATGTGTTTTTTCAACAAAAAAAAAAATTGGGAGAAAATATGCTAATAGTACTTGCCTTGGCGAGCGTAGAATTCTGCAAACGGCTGGTGATTCTGCCGTTTCCCTTATTGCCTGAACCTAAAGAAATACCAGTTTTCAGAATTCACATATTGTTGTTGCTGTTAGAGTGGAGGAATAAAACGCTCTCAGAAAAACCTCAGGACAAACTTTTGGCACAAAGGAAAAACTCAGATGCAACATCCCCTGGCCACGGAGTGACACCGAGCGCGGGGCCAGGGACGTCCTGGCCAGGCTGCCGCGGGGAGGGGCACCGACAGGAACGGGCCAGCTCCTCGCAGCGCGCTTGGCAGCGGAGCCTGTGATTACCCATCCAGAGAGGGAAGAAAAGAGAAGGGAAGAAAAGAAAGTTAGTGGAGGGGGCAGAGGCTGGGGAAAGGCGGGGGGCACACCAGGACGACAGAGCCTGCCAGTCCCCTTCCAGACAAAGGACTTGGCGGGAGGGGAGAACCCCGAATGCTCCCGCTGAAAGGAGGGAGGCGGTTCCTTCCGCAGGCAGCGCGCGCCGGGACCGCGCGGCCAAGTTTCACGTCTCGACAGATGGGGTCGAGCGCCTGGCCGCCCTGTTTCCTCCAGACGGTCAGTGCGAACAGTGATCATCACCGTTCCTCGTCCCCACAGAGGACTCTTGGCCGGGGCAGGGTCCTTCCCGCCTTCGTCTCCCACCCAGCCCCTCTGCGGCAGCGGAGAAAGCGCCGCAGGCCTGGCAGCCCCGCAAGGCCACGGGGTCCCAGCTATTCCCTCCAGGGTCTCCGTGGAGGCTGGGGGTGGGGCCTCTCTGGGATGCTTTCCAGGCTGAGGGGGTGAAAAGGCGGCCCAGGAGGCAGATCTCCGCGACTCTTTGTTTCTGCTTCGGGCCCTGCGCCGGGCTCAGCCCTGGAGGGGGCGGAACAGCCAACGGGGCGGGGCCCGGGCTCTGGACCCTGAGTTACCCCTCCTAGAACGCCCGGTTGGGCGTCCCCAGAGGACATATAGGGCCCCAAGGGTCTGAAGAAAGCCCTGCCCTCGGCCTGGAGGAGTTGTGAAGGCCTTGCACAGGCCTGGGCCTCACTTGGTCTCCGGCGTTGCCCTGGGGAACCCCACCCCTCAAAGTGGGGCTCCTCGAGTCTCTTAGAGGAATGGCCCCGACTGAAGAGCTGGCCGGCTGCTAGCACGAGGCCGCTAACAACAGCAGTAATAATAACAGTCACCGCCAGCCTTTCAGCGAGAGCCGAGCGCGCCGGCGCACCACGCTTGATTAAATAACATAATTAGGAGCCGCTTTAATGAATATTATTACATTTCAGGCGATTTCAAGAATGGCCTTTTATTTTCTCTGGGCAGGCAGCATAAATATAATGAAGTGTTTGAGATTATTAATAAAAACATGAATGGTCTACTTGGGGTTCGCGCCTAGCAGCAACGAGGCCACCTGCATCGCTCGCAAACCTGCGCAACGGAGCTGCTAGCCAGCCGGGCTTTCCGTGTCCAGGGTCCCGGGGACCCCGCTCTCCCCGAGACCCTAGAGAGAGTCCCGCCGGCGGCTTCGCTTCCCCGCTACCCGCGTCCGCGCCCTACTTGGAGGCCTGGAGAGGACCTAGCTCTCTGCCGAATAGGACCACGAGGCATGGAAGAGGGGTCCCCGTCCGGAGGTCCGGCGCCCGGGCTGCAGTTGCGCTGGGGCGCGTCGGGAAGGGGGTACCAGTCTTCCCGAGGCTGATTTCTGCCTCGCCCGGCGAATCCGAGCTTTCGGAATTGCGCCTCGGCCCTTTGTCATCAGTCGCTATTAACCTCCCGGCGCGCGGCTGCTCTGCCTGGCAGGCTGCAGTTTTCGGCGGAGCCGGGACCCTCCCGGGGGCGCTTGGGGAGCCGCGGAGGCGAGCAGAGACCGCGGAGGGCGGATATTAAACCAGCGGGAGACAGAATGACTTCTAGCAGAGCCCCAGCGAACAAACGCGGCCTCCCGGCCGGCTCCACCGCACGCCAATTTACATATAGAGTGTCTGGGCGTGTGTTGTGCGCACCGGAAACCCGGACGCACCTGTGCCCAGCGGTGGAGGAGCCCCCATCGATTTGACCTTCTCGCTCAAGGAAAAAACAGAACCACTGGCGCCCTCTCGGTAATCAGGCTGGGGTCAACCGCAGGGCTCCTTCCAGAAAGGCAGGGCGGGTCCGCGTTGCGGCCGTCGGCGGGTGTGGACCCTGAGATTCTGACTCCAGCCTGGGGACAGGCCCCACTAATCCAGCCTCGTTGGCAGAGCTGGGTGCAGCGGAGAAGGATGGCTCTGAACGCCAAGGAGCCCTGCCAGGCCTCCCCGTTTCGCACTCTCGCGGGGGCGCCTGCTAGGGCAGGCCTGGGGGGCGGTGGGTCCTCCGGGGCCCGGACTCCCAGGCCGTCTCGGAGTCTCTGCCCAGCGATGGAGCGGTGTGGAGTGAGCTCCGCCTGGGCCCGGCGGGGACACAGCTAGGCCTGGGGCAAGGGGGTCTTTCAGCTCGAAGGAACAAGGACTTCCTTTATAAATGGGCGTTCCTCTTTTGCACACTTAGGAAACCCGCCTCCTGTGGGGCAACAGTCTGTCCAGGGTTCCAGTCGTGGGGCGGGTTCTGCAGTCCGGGTCCAGAGCCGCGACACGCAGAGCCCGGGAGGCTCGGGAGCAACCATCCGGCAGAGGACTTGGGAAAGGCGCACCGTCTTCCCGGCCTGACTCGGGGACTCCACGGCGAAAGCAAGCAGGTGGCCAGCGGGGGCTCACCATGAGGGAGCAGCTTAGATTATATGCTATTGGAGTAAAGTGTAGTAAACAGAGGAGTAAAAAAAAAAAAAAATATCTCAGCTTTTCAAGGGTCTGAGGGTTCATCCAGTAAGAAAAAGAAAGAACACTCTCCAAGCCACTGTAAGCCTAGTGTCTGCTTGAACACCTCCGAGGACAGGGAACTCATTACCCTACAAAGCTGTACTTTGGCCCTTTTCAGTGTTGTAATCGAAAACAGTCTTTTTCAAAAAAAAAAAAAAAAAATGATGGCTTCATGTAAAATAAGAGAGAGGCCAATACGACAATAGAAGTTGTGCTAATTTTTTTTGTTTGGTTTTTAATATACGAACTCTCTGAACTGTTCAGAAGTTGGGGGTCGGGGGGAATCCGTGATCTCACCCCATCTGCAATCACCCTGGGGCGCAGCTTGGACCCGGGCAGCGAGAACTCGGAAGGTGTAGGAAGAGGAGGTCTCACCACCGCGGTGAGAACCCAGCTGTCTGAAAATCCCGGGGGCAGCTCCCAGACCGCTTCCTGGCAGGGCGAAGGCCCAGCCCAGAGGCCCCGCTTCTGCCTGGGAACACCGGCGGCCTGGCTGCAGGCGAAAACAGAAAACGCCTAAAAAGTCGCCTTCGGCAACAGAAGATCCTCGCTAGTCTGAGTTTCTTTTACAGGGAGAAGAAAAAAAAAGTTTTTTCAAGCCATGGAAGTTTGGAAATACCGCAACTGAACACGTAAATCACTCCTCCAAAGACCCCAAACACTTTCTGGCCGAGGGGACTCCAGAGGCAAGATCAGCACTGGCCAAGCAGGTCCTCCCCCAGTTCTGCTTAGGAAGTCGTACCTTGTCTTTTGCTTTGGGGAGGGGGGGGCCAACAAAAGGTAAACAAAAATGACACTTTAAAAAGGAGAGTCTCTTTGTCTCTCGTGGAGTAAAAAGTTTCTGTCCCAAGAGGGAAGCGCCCGGTCCGGCGTGGGTGGGCAAGGCCAGTGAGCCCCCAGCCGGAGGGAGACCTGTTGAATTTGGCAAAATTTAAAAAATTTAGTCACTGGAATAGCACCGTATTTTTGAACACTTCCTCCTAGAAACAAAATGTGTAAATTATTTTGGTTATTCTGTGTTACATAAATAAGACATATCCAAACTGATTTTCAAAAAAAAAATAATCACCTCTGGCTACAAAGGTAGGCACCTGGCACCTGCTCTGAGGTGGGGCAAAGGCCATGAGCACCGGAGTGCTGGGAGGATGCCCGGCCATCTCCTCTGGACCGAGACAAGCTTAGAAAACTCGATATTCCACCTGGGACCTTCAGTATTTTATAATAAAGAGGTTTTGTTTTATTTAATGTAACCTTCAAGAATTTAAACACACAAAAATGTGGGGAGGGGTGTTCACAATTTTGATAACCACAGTTGTAAATAGAAACATTCATTCATTTCTCATAAGATTATAAATATTTGATACTGGAACTGTAAAATGCACATGTTTTATAAACTGAAACAACAAAAGAAAACAAAAAACAGAAACCAACTTTGCTTCCTGCTAAAAGGCATGTCATTTCACCGAGTTTCCTAAGCAGCAGACGGTTATTCACAGACTTTTAAATTACAACTTTTGTTTTTATAGTTTCCTTTTTAAAAAGGTTTACATTATTATGTACAAAGTAAAACTGTTACTGCAATGAAATAAAGAGGTTTAAGGCAAAGAGGGAAGTTCACCCTCAGTCCTCAGGGAGACCACGGCTCCCAGCTCAGCTGTGGGCACAGCCCCCGGGCCGTCCCAGCCACAGATGGACATGTGGACTGGTCTTTCCCCAGACACTAAACAGAAGACAGTGTGGCGTTATATATAGATAATGCGTTTGTTTATATATATATATATGTACTTGGTGGGAAATATAGTGAATATATTTAATTTACACTGTACCACACCTTCAAAAATAAAATGTATATTTTAAAAAACAAGAAAAGACAAAAAGTGGTAGGAAATGATTATTTACACTTGTTCTTCCTTCCTCTAGATCCTGGAGGATTCTGAGTTCTTTTGAAAGACAAGGTAGCCACATGTTCCAGAACTCTGGACTCATACACGCCTGGTGTGTGTGTTTACATGCGTGCAGACATGTGTAAACACACATATGTATCTTGGAAGAATGTTCTCTATAGCAGAAGCAGCCACTCCAAGAAAAAAATAAAAAAAGAAAAGATAGGGAAGAAAAGAAAAAGGAAAGGAAGATGATGCCATCTCCCTCTACAGAGCCTTCTGCCCGCCCAGAAGCAGTGAGCCATGGTCTCATTTCTTAGACCCTGGCTGGCACCCAGGGTGGCTGATGGAGCCTCAGAAATTCCCAGGGCCAAGCCAGGAGGAGGGTCGCCCCACTGCTCTTAGGCTTTGGGCCACACACCTGAGACCTTTAGCCCAGAACCTTGAAGCGCTTCTGCATGGAGGCAGTGCCCAGGACAGGAGGGTTAGGCCTGTGGCAGGGCTGCAGCAGGACTGGGGACAGTGACACAGACCACAGACGCAGACGCAGACGCTGTATGCACAGGGTTGAGCCTTGGTGAAGAGGAGGAGAAAAGAGGAGGGGGAGGGAAGAGGAGGAGAGAGGGAGGGAGTAGGAGGAGGAGGAGAAGAAGGAAAAAGGGAGCAGGAGGGAGGAGTAAGAGGAGAAGAAGAAGGAAAAAGGGAGCAGGAGGGAGGAGGAGGGAGAAGGAAAAAAGGGGAGCAGGAGGGAGGAGGAAGGAGGAGGAGGGAGGAAGAAGGAGGAGGAGGGAGGAGGAAGGAGGAGGAGGAGAGAGGAGAGAGGAGGAGGAGAGAGGAGGGAGGAGGAGGGAGGAGGAGGAAGGAGGATGAGGGAGGAGGAGGGAGGAGGAGAGAGGAGGAGGAGGAGAGAGGAGGAGGAGAGAGGAGGAGGAGGAGAGGAGGGAGGAGGAGGGAGGAGGAGGAGAGAGGAGGGAGGAGGAGGAAGGAGGAGGGAGAAGGAGGAGGAAGGAGTAGGAGGGAGGAGCAGGAGAGAGGAGGATGAGGGAGGAGCAGGAGAGAGGAGGATGAGGGAGGAGCAGGAGAGAGGAGGATGAGGGAGGAGCAGGAGAGAGGAGGAAGGAGGATGAGAGAGGAGTAGGAGAAAGCAGGTGGGAGGAGGAGGAAGGAGGAAGAGGAGGGAGCAGGAGGAAGGAGGAGGAGGAGGGAGAAGGAGGAGGATGAGAGGGAGAAGGATGGCAGGAGGGTGAGGAGAGGGAGCTGGGTGAGGCTTCGGGCCTGGGCAGCTGCTGGGAGCATGGAGCCAACTTCCCAGGGCAGGCCTGGGATATGCTGGGTGGCTTCCCAGGGCCAAACCCCAGAACTGGCCCAAGGACCCTGAAGTCTCCTCTCCCTCGCCAGGTCCCCTGAGCTCCCCAAGGCCTTGAGGTGCGCCCTCCTGCTGTCCTCACCAAGCCAACACAAACAAAGTGGCAGAAGTCATAGACCAAATAGGAGCTATTTATTCGGTTCACAGTCGTGTGAAATGCAGCAATAAAAAATCTTTGGACTTCAGCAAGTTGTTTTAATTTTTTTCTTTTGAAATAATAAAAAAGTGTCCAATGTCATATAATGGAGCTTAGGGGATTAAAAAAAGATGAAACCCTAAGCAGCCCCCTTCGAAAAAAAGAAAAAAAAACCCATAAAATTAGCATAATCTCATAAACACAAAAAAACTCAAAAAATACTTTATAGTCAGATATTTTGGATTTTATACCACCTGTAAATTATATACACATATAATATTGCAGAACCTTAGCTAATACACGATATTTTCACTGTTAATGCTGGTATAATCTTTATACACTGGCCCTTTGTGATTTTAAATTATTGCATTGTTTCGCGCGGACTGAGACCTGGCCTCCACCCCCGCCCTACTCGCTGTCCGACTTGCCCTCCTTGGCCGTGGTGGAGTGATTGTACAGGCCCTGTGCCATGAGGTGCACGGCCAGCGTGTTCTTGTTGCCCGTGGCCTTCTTGATCTTGGCGCGCTTGTTCTGGAACCAGATCTTGATCTGGGACTCATTGAGGCTGAGCTCCTGTGCCAGGCTCTGGCGCCGCTGCTCTGTCAGGTACCTGTTGGTCTGAAACTCAGCCTTGAGCCTCTGCAGCTGCTCGGCCGTGAAGGCCGTGCGCGGCCGCTTGTCCTCTTTGTTCGGGTTCTTCTTCTTTGGTTTTCGAGACCTGGGACCTGGGTAGGTGTGGTGGACAGAGAGAAGCCAGGTTACCCAGAGGTGTGCCACCCAATAGGCACCGGGAAGGAGGCAGGGACCCCGAGAGGAGAAGTGACTCGTCCAAGGCCACTCAAGGCTGAATGGCCAGTTGTGGGGCTGGACTTGGGACTGGGCATGGCCTCATGTTGACTCTGCCACCTGGTGTTGGGTACATGGGGATGTGGGGCAGGCCTAGTAGACAGGATGATCACAAACCGGGGTCTTCAGACAAAAGTCAAACTCCCAGGTGTAAGCAAACCCCCCCAAACTTTCTGACTTTCTGTCCTGGTTTTTTCCTAGCCCTTTCTGAGGCTCTGTTCAGGAGCATGGATGGGGGTAGGTGCTGGGAGAGAGGTGAGGGGAGAAGACCAATGAAGACTGCAGGGCAGTCACCAAAGCAGGAGGTTCTCTGAGGGCTGTGCTGGGGACCCCCACGGGGATACCCCACAGGGTGTCAAGGGCTGTGGGAATCAGGGGCCGATGGGCCCTGAGGACAGGAGGGGCTCCGAGTGTCTGCCTCCACCCAAGCTCCTCTATGACTCCCAGCCCAGGCCTCTGTGGGCCAAGTTCACCCCCATAAGGATGAGGTGGGCATGCACTTCCCTCGTGGGTGGGGAGGAGTACCTTCTTCACCCTACTGGGGAGTCCTTCACCCACTGGAAATCTCCCAGGTTTCCTGTCCAGGAGAGGGGATCTGGGTCTGAAAGGTACTGACAAGGGAGACCCACACCTCCTTTTCCCCTGATGGGGGCTGCTTGGCTTCAGGCAGCAGAGTGGTCCAGCTGACCTTGCCAGGTGCACACTTCTGACACCCCCCCCCCATTCAGATCCTGCCCTGGCCTCCTCCCTGTGGACCTGCCCATGTTTGGGACAGGGTCATGCTAAGGCTCCTAGAGAACCTGCTATCCACGGGGAAAGGGCAGAGGGAAGAGAGAAGGAGGGACAGGTAATCAGTTTTCTTTTGGTGTTAAGAGGCTCAACCCCTTGGCATTCCATGAGGGAAGAGGTGGGCAAAACCATTGGTGACAGGCAGTGGCCACCCTGCCTCTGGGTTTCAATTTGTGAGGTGTGTGAATCAGCTTTAGGGAGCATCGAGCCCCAGCTTCGTCAGAGGTCCCTGTCACTGGAGGCCAGAGAGGGCTGGACCCCACACCCTTCAGGGCCAGAGAACTTCCAGGCACCCTGGGCAGCAGAGGACTGTGGATCACACTGGAGGCCCTGGGACTGCGCCTGGCCAGGTCAGGAGAGTGGACGAGGGTGCTGGGGCTGTGCCCAGCAAGAGGCCCAGGGTGAATGCCAAGCACTCCCTCCCCGGCAACTGAGACTGGAGCTCTCTCCAGGAGACTGGCCTGGAGAAAGAGGGTCTGCGGGCATCACCAAGGGGGCACCAAGGGCAGCTTCTAAAGCAACCCACAGGCAGACTCACCATCCGAGAGCGCACACACCCTAAGCTTGGGCACCCAACCCCCATGCACACTCAGGGACTGTCTTATACTCAGGGCTCCACACCAGTGGGCCTGGCTTTGGTGGGGGTAGGTGCAGATTTAGGCATGGGGGTTGGCCCTCTGGACCGGTGGTGGGGAATGGGGCACAAGGCTCCAGGGGAGGCCCGGGCAAGACCGGCCCCAGCCTCTTGCTCCCAGAGCCGGTCTCTGTCTCCATCTCCACTCCCTTCCCCAGAGAAATGCGCGCCCTACCCCCAAACTCCTCTGGTCCTGGGGCTCTTGTTAAAGCACCCGTGAATCAGCCCTCAAAAGGATACCATTTTATAGAAAGAAATATCCCTAAAATCAGAATTCTTAGTTCCCTTTTTTTTTCTTGATTTTCTTTCAAAAGACAAATACTTAGGAGTCTCAGAAACAGAATCAAACCTCCCCAAGAAAACCCTCTCGTCTCCGCCGCTTCTTTCGGAGACGCCAGATAACAAAAACGTTATCTTGCATGGATATTTTAAAGCCCATGAAGATCGGAGACTTGGTCTGGGCTGGGCTAGGCCAGGCCAGCGGGTGAGCCCAGCTCCCGGGCCAGTGGAGGCTGACTCAGAACTCCAGCATCGCCTCACAAAGCCCGGCGGAGGCTCCTCGCCCGGCATTGTGAGCCTGTATGTTAATTAAATATTAACAAAGGAGGAAGAAGAGAACAATGGAGCAAATTTCAGTTCTAGCTGGAGAAATCTGAATTTCATCAGAAATACGCACGCGTATTTCTGCAGGATGACGGAGGAAGGGTGGCTCATCCCTGCTGTGATCTGGGCAAATGACCCCCGCAAAATAGTTGAAGGTTTGGGGGTAGCGGGGATCCGCTGCTAGCTCCGGGTCAAACAGCCCACTCCTAATGGCGGTTCCCAGCTGCAGACCCGCATGGAAAGCAGTTGATGATTTCTACAAGGATATGGACTTAGTTTTTAAAATCCCAGATCTATAAAAAATGCACCCATCATCTCTGCACGGCCCCTGCAAATGCTGCCTGTTTCCTATCTGCAGCCCCCAGGAAACCTTGCGAAAAGGTCCTTTCTATCTGGGGAAGGCAGGTGCTGGGAGGGATGCCTGCCTCCCTTGTCCTCGCTGTGTGCAGGAAGGGGGCTGAGCCCCACCGCTGCAGGCTGGCGCTGGCAAACAAAGTGGAGCCCAAGGAAAAGGGCGCCTTTATTTTTACCCTTCCCTGTGCGCGTCCTCCTCCGTCCCACCCGCCAGCGCAGGCCGGAGGGGCAGGAGGCAGAGCGGCGATGGGCCTCGCCTTTTCTTCCGCGAACGGGATAACGGGATGGTAGAACAAGTCTGGGGTGGGTTGGGGCGGGGATCCGGGCTGGTCTGAGTTAAAAGATCGCAGGGAAGGGGTTGAGAATACGCATTTTGGGCCCATCTTCCAGCCACTCCATTCCTTCCCCCGCCCTCCCCCAAAACACCAAAAAACCAAAAAACTACAGTGGAGGAGACTTGGGCTAAGGGCTGCGAAGAGATGCCCCAAGGCCGGGTGGAAGAGAGAGAGAGGGGACAGGGGGAGGGAGGGAGGAAGGGGGGAGAAAGAGAGAGAGAGAGAGAGAGAGAGAGAGAGAGAGAGAGAGAGAGATCCCTTCTGCTGTCCTAAGAAGTCTGTATCCCCTAGCGAATCAGTCCTCCGCTCGCTGGACTCCTGTCCGCTACCCCGGCCAGCGTCAGCTTCACACAATGTCGTGTGACTCTTTGTGCGAGTGTGCGGAGGAGGTTCCAGACGTTTTCTTCCCGCTAAATTCCCGCGCCAGCACCGCCCCCCAGCTCCAGTTCCACGGACCTCCCTGCAGCGAGCCGGGATGCGTGGTCCCCGCGGGCTCACCTGAAGAAGGCCGGTCCGAGTAGCGCGTACAGTAGACCCAGGCGGGCCAGAGCATGGGCTGCGCGCCTAGGGTGGCGCCGGCTTGCGAGCTGTCCGAGTCCGAGCTCACCGACAGGTCGCCGCCGCCCAAGCCGCGGGCCTTGAGCGCTCCGTCCAGGGGGCCGCCAGGGTCGCCGCCTTTCTTGGCGCCACCAAGCAGCGACAGCGTCTTGGAGCCGCCTTCCCCGTCCCCCGGAGAGTCGCTGCCGGCGGCGGGTAGCTGCCCGCCCGCGCCGGGAGCACACGACGGGTTCTGCCGGGGCTCTCGGGAGCCAGACCCCAAGAGCTGCTCCGAGCCGCCCGTGCCGCCACTTCCCTCCGCACCGCTCACGCTGCCTTCACCGCCGGCTCCGCCGCTCCTTCCTCCTCCCGCGCCCGCACAGCAGGTCCCCGCGTCCTTGCGCCGGCCGAACTCTGGCCGTAGGATGTTGTCGATGAAGAAGTTGGTGATGCGGTGCGGGTGCTGGTGGTTGCCGGGCGCCTGCAGGACCGCGGGCAGCATCAGAGCTCGCCGGTGCCCGGTGTCCGCTTCTCCCGGGCTGCTGCTGCCGCCGCCGGGGCTGGATTCCGGCTGCCGCTGTCCCTCCGCCGCCGCCGCCGCCGCTTCGCCGGGCTTGGGGTCATTTTCCTCCATGCTGTTCACAGTAAATCCCGGACTGATGCTCCGGGGACGCCCTTCCAAATCAGTCTTCTGCCCTCCCGCGGCGCACACGGGGACCCCCGCGCCCCCACCCCGCCGAGTCTTCCGAGGGCGTGCGCGGCGGCCACGGCCAGGGCTGGGGTCCTATAAGTCGCCGGCCGTGCTCGGCGTGGAGCCACGTTTGAATCCACGAACCGGGTTTGAAACACCACGAGCAGCCCCGCTCGCCCAGACGCCGGAGATGCGGCAGAGCCAAGTCCTCGACTTCGCAGCGCGGCCAGGCTCTAGACAGTCACGAGGGTCCGGCGGGGACGCGGGCCGCCTCCCGGGTTCCGCGCTTCTCTAGGCGTCCCGCCGTCTCTGGCTCTCGCGCTGCAGCCTGGGCCGCCTGGGGCGAGAGCTGCGCGCATGCAGGCAGCGCGCTCTCCGGCGCTCACGCCTGCCGGGGCCGGCTCCGGCCGCCGCCGCCGCCCGGCCGTCCCCGCCCGCGTGCCCCAGCCGGCCCTCGAGGGTGCGGGGCGCCCGCGGTCAGCGCGCCTGCTGCCGCCCGCACGCACATGGAGGCCCCCTCCGCGCGGCCGCCGCCCCGCTGCGGGCCGGGGCGCCCCACCGGCCTGCGGCCGCGCCCCCGCCGAGCCCCGCGATGCCCCGCAGCCAGAGTCGCATGGGTGAGGGATGAGAGGCCAGGGCCCGGCCGGGCCGGGCTGGGCCGCCCGCGCTCCCCGGCCTTCTGCCGCCCTCGCCGCCTCCGCCGCCGCGCGGGCTCGGAAATTTCCAGGCCACTCGGCGCAACCTGAGACACTTTCACTCTGGATTTTTGTTCTTATTTTTAACAGAGCCCCCTCGAGTGACGTCGCAGGCCGGTCTCCTGGACACGTGCCTCGGGCCAATGGCCGCGGCGCCGCGCGCCCACGTGACGCTCGGGCCGCCGCTGGGTGACAGAAGCCGCCCGCCGCCCCTCCCCCCCTTAAAGCGGCCGTGTCCCTCGCTCCGGGTGCGGGAGCCGGGGAACCCGGCGAGACCCGCGATCGCGTCTCCTGTGCTCGCCCGCGCTTTCCCTGTCGCTTCGCAGTTCAGGGCTCTGAGCCACCCCGCGACGGCCCCGCCAGGTCACCCCGGGGCGCGTAGGTGGACACGCACAGGAAGGTCGCTATTTTTAACATTTCCATATTGTTTACCGTGGGGCAAAATCCCACAATTCCTTGCACAAAATGCATAAATAATATTAAATGAGCTGCCGAGATACAAAGGGACTTTTGTGGTCCGCTTTCCTTGCTGGTGGAGAGGATAGTGTCACTCCCGTTTGACTGGGTAACCCGGCAGCTTCCTGTCTTAAACGCAGAGCTGGCGCGCAGGACGCTCCTCCTGCAGACACTTATTGTAAGTGTGCGTGTGTGTGCGTGTGCGTGTGCAGGGAGGCGCGTGCATACGGCCGCATTCCACCCGGGGACAGCGACCCTCATGAAACATGCATAGCGATCCGGAAGAGCGGGGAAATGCAGCGTGCCCCTATGTTTAAGCAGGGAGAAACTGGGAGCCTCGGAGGTGCTAAGGGAATCCTTTTTGCGAAGAAAAGGAGGGTTGGCGGTTCAGCTAAGCCTTCAAAACCTAGTCCCCGCCCCCCTCCAACTTCTCTGCACTGATTGAGGAGCTCCCAGACTAGTCATCTCATTTTCTTTATTTTAAAACCCTTTAATCTAGTTTTGCAGAGCAGGGCTAATTTGAAAGGAGAATTAGAAATCCGGCGGCACAGGTGGGAGATCCAATTGGTTTATCCCCTCCTCTCTCTTCATAGACCTTTCTAGACTTTCCTTCCAGCCGTCGTCAGAATGTCCAGCTGGAAGTTCTGTTTCCCCTTCTCTTCCCCCTCCTCCCCCGGGCTCCTTCCCATTTGCTCTTCTCTACCCACCAAACACTGGTTGTTACCCCAGGCTCGCCTGTCAGTCATCTAAAATGCATTTTTATGGAAATGTGTGAACTCCTGGAAACCTGCGAAAGGGCAGCTCTGAGGGTGCGGGAGCGTTGCACCCCATGAGTACCCTTATTGCCGGGAAGGCGGGGAGACTGCAGCCTGGTCCAGCCATCCTAGGGCTGCTTGGCCCGGGGGCAGCCTCGGGGTGCTTAGCAGCCCTGATCCCCGCAGAGGCAGCCAGTGGGGAGCTGCCAGGCCCTGGGTGAACTCCGAAAGTCTGGGGCAAGCACCTCCCAGGCAGTGTGGCCTGCTAGGCCACCTGGAGGGCTGAGGTCGCGCCTGGCTTCCCGTCCATCCCAGGGGCTGTCCGTAGCTCAGCAGGCTTCACAGTGCTGCCTAGGTTGCAAGAAGCAACAGTTCCCACAGCGCTGCTCCCAGGAAAATGACGCCCCCCCCTTCCCCGGCAGGAGGGGAGAGAGGTGCTGGGCTGGCCACCTGGCCACTGGAGGTGGCTCTGGTCAGAGTGTGCCGTCTGTCCTCTGGTCTTGGGCAGGGTGGGGAAGCCCCTTCTCACTTTTTCTTCATTGGAGGAGTCCTTACCAAATTTTCCGGCTAGGCACACACCTGTCAGGGGTTCTTCCTGAGTCTCAAAGAATCAAACCTGCCCGCAGGAAAATCGGGCTGGTGAGTTTGTGAGAAGTCTTATTGACACTTCTTTTTTTTTTTTTTTTTTTTTTTTTTTTGCGGCGGGGGGGTGGGGAATGTAGAATTTTCTGCAGCTCTGGGAACCTCGGTGATCACCAGTCAGGAAAGGGAGGGTCCTATGACTTTGGGTCTTCTGAACCTGGTGTGGAGGGAGGGGGCCTCGAGCTGTTTTGCTCCCTGCAGAACCATCCCAGGTTAATGGCTCCATCTGTCCCACGAAAACCAATTAGGCGGCTTCCTGAGAAGTATTTTCTGAATTCTTAGGACTCTTTGCTTCTGAGAGCCTCAGTATATACATGGCCCCAAGACGCTGGGCTTCAGCCCTGCGCTTTCCAGCGACCTAGACCCCAACTCAGGGCTGCAACAGAGACTCTGGGAAGCACAGCGTCACCTCCAAGGCGCCAAGCCGGCCGGTGGGCGGAGACCTGCCCGCCTGGGGTCTGTGGGCCGCGCCACCGGGCTGGCTGGAGAAAGAAGAGTCATTTAGGGGTTGCTCACCTGGAAGGGAGGAGGGTGAGAGGTGGCGGGAAGAATAGGAGAAAGAAAGAAATGAAGAGATAACTCGAGGATACAGGACCCCCCAAAGTGGACCCAAACACGAAACAACTGCGGGAAAGCGTTGAGAGAGGCATGGTTCGAAGGGCCGGGGAAGCTGGGATCGTGCTGCAGAAGGCTGAGTTACCCAGGGGCTGGGCGGTGCCAAGTTCCACACACAGGGCACTCTCCGCAAGGTGTTTCAGGAAGCTTCGAGAAGCACGTGTGAGGCCCTGGCACGGCCTCCTGCCCCAGCTGGGACGGCGCCTGGCATTTTCTGGGGATGCGGGGCAGTGGCCTGTTTCTCCTCCGCGATGCCAGCCTCGGCTGCCACGCGCCGGCGATCTCAGCGCCTCCGCTTTCTCCCCTCAAACGACCGCCGCCCTCACGTTCGGCCGTTCTGCTCGGATCAGACGAGCCCTCACCGGACATTTGTTTCTCCTGGCATGGAAAGTGAGGCTCCAGCCCGAGGACCCCGTTTTCCTTCTGGCCTCACCCGGGAATCGGAGAGCCCCGCGACTACCCGCTTGCGGAGGACGGTCCTCCATATTTCCCAGGCTCGCTGCACAAAGAGGGGCCTCGGAGAGGGCGAGCAGGAAAGCAGCTTCCAGACGCCGGGCGCTTCAGGACACGGACGCTAGTTTTGCAAACAAAACCTCGGTGAAGCACCCGAGACGCCGGGCTCCCGGCTGCTGAGCCAGGCTCCCGTTTTTATCTGAAAACGAGGCCAGAGAAGGGTGACTCTTCCGGCACCTCTGCGTCTCGGCACTCCCCTTGCTTCTCTAGGTTGACGGGACAATTGGAAAAATGGACTCAGTGAGAGCCGTTCACTCGCCGCGGCCTTGTCACTCGCGGGGCAGAGACGCTCTCACCCCTGACGGCGAGATCTCCACCCCAGTCAAAGCAGGCCGGACCAGCCCTGCGCCCCCGGCCTTGAGCCGAGCCCCGCAGGGCCAGGCCCCAGGCGCCGGGCGGAGAATTGGGGCCGATTGGAGAGAAACATCTCCCCCGGGCGGTCAGAGAGCCACCCTCGCCTCCCGCTGTAGACGCTAAAACCGGACCTGCAAACAAAGGCCAAAGCGCAGGGGCGCGCGGAGCAGGGGCGGGCGGGGCCCGCGGGCGCAGAGGTTGCGTGTCTTCGCTCACCTCTGATCGAAGGAGGAAGGACCAACTGCCCACCGGGCGAACTCGGGGACGGAGTAAGGGAGGCAAGGTCTAGGGTTTGGGACTTCTCGGAATAACCTCTGGAAGGAAGGGGTTAAATGCAGGAACCGCGGGCCTGCCAAGGGCCGGGAGCTTCGTGGGAACTGGGGCGCTGGGCCCTCGGGTGCCAAGCGCTTCGCCTTTCTCCGCCCCAGGCCCGCCAGGAGCGCGTGTGGCGCGGGCTGAGCCTGGTGGGTGGGTCGGCGCCGGCAGAAGCTAGTCAGGGAAGGGCGGCAAGCAGTCGCATTGCAAGTCCTGGCTCTGCCCGGATCTCTGGAGAAGCGCCTGTACTCAGCCAAGGCTCCTGGATGTCGGGGAAGCAGAGTGGGCCAGGCGCCCACCGGGCACCGCCCTTCTGTCCTGGCTTGATGCTTGGCCCAGGCTCCCCGGGGAGGGGGCCAGCTGGGGGCAGGTGGGCAGATCTCCAGGGCTGGCGACTAAAGATGCAGAAACTATCCCTCACCTGGTGTCTCTGGAAAGCGGTGGCTTCTGAATGAGAATCTGAAGGACGGCTCTACTCGTGCGAACAATCCCCATACCCAAACCGGAACCTCTGTGAGCACTCCCCCTTCTGCTCTCCAGCGCTGGGAGAGCCTTATTCTGGATGACCTGCCTGCCCAGGAATCACCTTTCCTCTGCAGCTCTCTGCCTGCACTCTCACCCTATTTTACTGCTGTTGTTATTCCCTAAAATTTGGACTCCTGTGCAAGGTGGGCCCACTTCTACTCAAGGCCCACCCCTGAGTCTCCCCAAACAGATCTGCACCCTGGAGTCTTCCTGGAGCCCTGGGAGGGGCTTGCGAGCACAGACTTTCACCTCCTAAAGTCTGGACCCTCATGAAAACACCTCCTCAAAATCGCAGCCAGAAGACAGTGGCACCTCTCAAATAATCCAGTCAAATAAGTAAAATCAGTTTAACAAAGGAATTCGAAGAATGGCTTGAGCTGGCTAAGCACACCAAAACAGGAAGGAAAACACAGAAAAGAATAATGAGCTTCGAAATAAATTAACCACCTTCTCCAACCTTGCAACCATTCACAGACAGAAGAAATTCTAGTATGCATCCTCTGTCTTCCTTTGACCTTTGGAAAGAAAGCAAGATGTTCAAAAGGAACTCCTGAAACACCGG